TGCTATTTCATCATTATCTACAATCTACAACAGTATGTCTGGGTTTCATCATTAAGACATACTGTTGTAGATAATGATGAAACAGACATACTATTGTAGATAATGATAAAACAGACATACTGTTGTAGATAATGATAAAACAGACATACTATTGTAGATAATGATAAAACAGACATACTATTGTAGATAATGATGAAACTTAGCAGATTAATACTAGTTAATGGAAAAACATAATGATCACTAGGGTAACTTCCAGACTAGTGAATTACATACACTGAATAGGAATATCAATTAGGTTTGCAACACAGATAATGTATTCGAGTACGGACTCAGGCAATAATAGGTAAACAGGTTAACAAAATATAAACTTTTATGTGCAAGGATAAAAAATTAATAAATATTCAAAACGATTACACGTTTGGGTTAAATGATTGGCGGTTGTGTTTATTTAATTACATTCTAAGCTAAATTATCAAGCTCAAAATAATACAGCATTCTAATACTTAAACACGTTTAAAATGATGCATTGTGCAAAATTTAAGTAACAATCATAAATTAAGTACAACACTAAGCGTAGTGTCTACGATATTATGTCTATGTGTGCAGAGGTTGAGTATTGTATATTAAAACGAGTTTGTAACTTTTCTTCAACATCAGGTTATGTCCTATCTGACTACTGTAAAAGTAATGTTTCAGCATAGTAAAACTGAAATGTCCAAAGCATTCCAGCCCTCCGTGCATGCTTTCCATAATCATTGTAATATACATGGAGAACGGTTTCCCAGTGCCCATTTCAACATACTGATAGCAACGAAATCCATAGGTGTTGCGTCCAACGACTTGATCAGTTTGTTTCATATGTTATAGTATGAATACTCCTTTCATTCTCCAAGCGCTTGAGATATGCGATGATTGAACGAAAGGTATGATCAGAAACTTTGGCCACTGATCATTGTATTCGTGTATTCCCACTTGTTGAGAAACGCCGCACTTTGCTTACTACAACTGTGGGCCGACTTGCTGGTTCTGTTGCCTCAAGTTCATCCCTATTCCTTTGTTTTCCAATGCCATTAAGTATATGTGGTATCCCAGTCTTTAAAATTATAACCTCCTAATCTGAACACATCTTTATTGTCTAAGTTTTACATACCCTTACTGAAGCGATCATTTTTCCATGGCATCACACTTCTTATGTAATGCTTTCCACCGCTACATCATATCGTCTGTTGTGATTGTCACGTGACTTGCTGAGTTACATATAAAAAATAATTTTAACATAGCATACTCAACCTTTGTATATATATATATATTATTGTGAGTGAGTGAAAGCTGAAATGATTAACAAGTCCAATCATTCTTGACAGTTATTTTGATTCAAAATCTTTCAGGCCTCGAATAATCATGGACGCTCAGAAACTGGTGTTATAAAATGACTAGAAATGTATTAATACACATAGTTTATATTTTTAAATACAATTCGTTTCCTGTTTCCATCATATATTACAATACAATTGTCAACAAATACCATTTCACGAATATATGAACACTGAAAAACAGAATTATTCCGTATAAAACATTTGTGTGAGAGAGACTATATTTTCTAAATATATTGAAAATTAAATTGTTACATGTCCATGTCTCTCTGTGATATTTATCATCTTATTCAGGAATATATATAAATATTTCCATTAATGTGCAACCAAAAACTTTGTTTCAATCATCAACTAGTGCCTGATTATTTTACATAGTTAGATTTTTGTTTTATTATAAAAATAAAATTCTTTAAAATACATTTGAAATACACGTTCCTTTTAAAATATATTTAAAATGTTTTGAACCACTTCTTATTCTGAACTAATCAATTGTTATACTTTAAAACTATACATTTCCAAAGATTGAGATATTGCTTTCTAAAAAAACAACTTTTTTTTTTTATAAGAGTGCGGTCTGAGAAAAGACGCCATTAATATTCGTCGAGTCAGAAAATCCCGCTTAAGAAAAGCCAGACAAGAAACAGAATCGTCACCAATAAGAAAATCTCCAACGTTTTTTCACTTACACTCGAGATCACGTCGACAACTGTTTGACCACAGCGAAGTACCTGTCTTGTCCAATGAAAATAATCGCCACATTCCTGGAATAGAATTTGCTGTTGGAGGAGAACCGGCTCGTGAGGGAGCTTGGCCATGGATGGTAGGCTTCAGCTGGACTTATACAGGCTCTTAATATCAGCTTTTCGTTTCAAACATATTTAGATATTATCTAACCAACAGTTATAAAATTATCTGTAACGATAGGTTACTTAAAATATTATTTGTAGAACTGGTTAAGATACCGTTGTTAAGAATGTAAAAATTTCAGTTTGTAAATATTAAGATCCTTTTAATGCTCTTGTTCATTGCATCTATAACTTTATCAGGATAAGCGTCAGAGTTTCATTACAAAATTAGTTGCAAATGTGCATTGAAGTCAAAGATCTCTTGATTTTATCAAACGTTTGTTTACATTCTCACACCACCGATATAACACAATCTATGCATAGCTTTACAGCTAAACCTATTCTAACTTTCAACAAAATTCAAATCCAAAGTGGGAGAGTTTGTTTTTGGAACATTATGTACTTATTTCTTGCCAAACGTTTGACCTAAAATAAAGGTATTCTTCATGATTTATTTTCATATTGGACAGGCATCAATTTCAAACCAAGGTGGAAAAAATTTTCTGTGTGGAGGTTTTTTAATTGATGAAAGGCATATTGTGTCTGCAGCTCACTGCTACGCTGATGACAGGTGAGATTTAATAAAAATATTTTTCTCTTGTTTGAGCAGACGAGATCAAAAGTTGGCACTAAATAGTTAATCACTCAAAAAGATGTATTTTTTCTCAACCAGAATTGTTAAGTAAACTATCATTATTAATACGTAATTTTAAATATCTTTATATAGCTTTTACCAATAGCTTATAATCTTATTTTCAGAAAATTTTAGGGTATGCTGTGTAGTATTTATTCAAGCAACGGAACAATATTTGCTAGATCTTTCTTTTGACAAAAGGAAATCAGCATTATTTTCTGTCTTTTCGGAAGTTTTTTTTGCTTGCAATGAAGTAATTTCCTCTGAAACAATTAGTACGAATTAAACAAAAAAGAACAAATTTCTAATATGTCTGAGTGCCATTATTATAAAATAAATAATCTCTGGATAAACAAATGGATATGTATATCATGAAGATGGCATTCTAAGCGTTTATTTACATCTGTTACGTCTCCGTTTTTTTAATTGATTTTCCGTAACTTCGTACCGACGAAACTTAAGCGACACAAGCCTTTACTTAATAAAACTGGTTTATTCTTTCCGAATATAACTTAACCGATACACTCAACAATCGCGCTAAACAAACGCTATAGCAACGAACGTCAAATAATACTCCGACCGCAGATCAATTACTCACTAT